TCCATTTTTAGCCATCTAATTCCTTTATTACAGCCTTAACCCGGGAAATACTACCATAAAAATGTGTTTTAGGTCCAAAATCCTTACCTTAACGAAGTTTCCTTTAAATACCTCTTTCAAATCGCCCAAACAGCTCCCAAGCCGAAGTCAAAAATGGTGGAATAACTCAAATTCGCGAAATGAAATAACTTATATGTTCTGCCAGACCTTTCCGCATCTGCAGCACTTCAACCGCATCTGTGGTACCGCATTTGTGGTTAAATCCTCCACTTCTGCGGAATTCACTTAAGATCCCAAAATTGCATCTACGATAAGCCATCCGCACCTGCGACTCCGCAGGTGCGGTCCCACACCGCATCTGCGGTTCCTGGAAAGTCCTCAACAAATCCGTTTTTGCAGCTCCTCTTCCGCACGTGCAGTGCTGCACCTGCGGTCCCCAAACCGCAGGTGCGAAAGTACCAGAAGCAGCAATTTCAGCAGCTGCAATAACATTTCAATTCCTCCGTCAACCATCCGAAATCACCCCGAGGCCCCCGGGGCCTCAACCAAAAGCACAAACATAACCTAATACCTTATTCACACTTGTTCTTATCATCAAAACACCTCAAACAATATCAAATCACCCGAAACACATTGGATTCAAGCCAAACTTTCTAAAATCTTCCAAATTCCGCTTTCGATCAAAAACCCAACCAAACCACGTTCGAATGACCTGAAATTTTGCACACACATCCCAAATGATACAATGAAGCTACTGCAACTCTTGGAATTCCATTCGGACCCCTATATCAAAATCTCGCCTACCAACCGGAAATTGCCAAAATATCAACTTCGCCAATTCAAGCCTAAATCTACTCCAAACCTCCAAAACCCAATCCGATCACACTCCTAAGTCATAAATCACCCCCCGAAGCTAACCGAACCATCGAAACTCACATCCGAGCCCTCTAACGCATAAGTCAATATCCGGTTGACTTTTCCAACTTAAGCTTCCTCAAAAGAGATTAAGTGTCTCAAACCTTACCAAATTCATTCTGAATTCGATCCGACCAACCCGATACCATATAACACGGATAAAAAGCATAAAGAAGCAAAAATGGGGGAAACAGAGCAGTAACTCATGAGACGACTGGTCGGATCGTCACAATTACAAGCCTCACATTTTTCAAAATTATTTTTAATCAATGGGATTAATGCTAAACTACTCATGATTCCCACATAATGATTATTAATATGACATAAACTAGAATGCCAAAAACTAGTAGAAGAAAGCATATAAATAAAACTAGAAGAAATTTTATTCATCTCAACATTCAACTTGAACATCCCATCACATGCATACCCCTTACCCACAAAAATACCCTTTTTCACTATTACATATTGATCACTTTCAATAATTTGTTTGAAGCCTGCCTTTTTAAGAAGAAAACTAGATATCAAATTTTTTTCTCATTGAAGTAGTATAAAGTACGTCTTTCAACGTTAATACTCTTCCTGAACTAAACTTCAACTCGACCTCTCCCTTTCCAAACACCTGGGTTGTGTGAGAATCACCAAGAATGATGGTTTTGGGCTCCTCAAATGGAGTATACACTTTAAACCAATCTCTATCATAGCAAACATGACAATTTGCTCCAGAATCAGCTCACCATCTATCAACATTTTCTACCATGTTAATGTCTGTTATCACTGCCACCAGTGGCTCTTCGGTAACGTTTGCCTGTGGTGTAGGACCACATTTCCGAAATTTGTAAAATCGAGCAATATGCCCACTCTTGCCACAGACAAAGCATGATTTTGCAATTTGAACTTGTTGATTCTATGCTTGGTTGTTTGCACCATTATTCTTCTTGGGAGGTCTACCATAATTTTTCTTAAAAGTCTTCATCTTCGGCTTCAAAGAAGTATTTTTTTTGACTTTTAGGAGTAATATTATTTGAAGTAATTAAATTTACCTTTGTAGTGACGGGTTGTAGAGCGCTCTCTTCCGATTGCATAAGTGCATCTTTGCCTCTTGCCTCTTCTTCCATCCGAATCCGCATTATCAACGTCCCAAGTGAAGTTTCCTTTTATTTGTGGCGCATAGTTTTTATAAATTCCCTCCAAGAAGGTGGTAGTTTATCTATTATGCCACAAACAATAAGGTTGCATCCAATTTTAATATCCTCGGACCTGAGCTCTCCAACGATCATTATGAAGTCTTGAGCTTGGTCTGCTACAAATTTATTGTCCACCATTTGAAAACGAAAAAATCTACTAGCAGCATATTTTTCAATCTACAAATTTATTGTCCACCATTTCTTGAAATGAGTACCATTAAAATGGAATGTCTTGTTGAGATCTCCCACCTTGGTATCTGCGGATTTTTCAACTGTAACCATTTGAATCTCCTTAAAATTGTTGGTGAAAAAACAATTACAGTTGAAAAATAAAATGAAGAAAATAAAATATCTTAAGGCTGAGGCGCGGATATCTCGCTCTCTTTAAGGAGATTCAATCCCACTGCAGCAAAGTCTTCACTGGTCCAGCAGTAATCCTCTTGACTTGTCTCCCCCAGGATACAATAGCCCGATAACGTCGTATGACTCGAACAAACTCTGGATAAATTGTTGAGTCCAAAGCTCCACCAAGATGAACACCTTCCTTCAACAAAAGTAAAAACTCTCTTCTTCTTTTTCACAACTTTAACTTCACTTTATTGAAATACTCTCAATTATCACATACCACATTATGGAAGAAAGACTCTTATTTATAAGTGTAGAAATTCTTCCTTGAATTAAATTGGAAGAATGTGGGGTAGTAAGTTATGAAATCATGGAGAATATGGGATAATGGATAAATTCATGTGTAATTAGTGGTAGAACATGGAAGAAGAGTTACAAAAGAGCTATAGAAATTTTCTCATCATGGAGTAGTGGGAGTTATGAGAGTTATAGTCATTTTCTTCACCATGGAGTAGTGAGAGTTATAGCATATTTTATTTTAATAATAAAATGCTAAAACACTAACACTTAGAGAATAAGACTTAGAGAGGAGGAGAAAAGAAAGTGTAGAGGGAAAAATATTCGGCAAAGAGCCAAATATACCCATGTACTATGAGAAAAAGTTTAAATATATATTTTGTTATACTTTGGATCCAAATATATCCCTGCTGTAATACTATTGGTTCAAATATGTCCCTCTTCTGTTAAGTTTGTCCAAGATGCACATCCAATCCTACGTGGCACTGATGTTTGATGAGGTGGATGCCAAATGTCATACATCAGCTCCCCTAATCTATATATAAAAGACTAAAATTTGAAATATAATATTTTTTATGGTAGCGGTAATAGTAGCCATAGTGGTGGAGGGGAGGGAAACTTAGTATTGGAAAAAAAAAATAGAAGGGAGGGGCAAAATGGGTTAGGGGCGCTGAGGTGGCAGGCCATGTGACATCCACCTCATCAAATATCAGTGCTACGCAGATTAGATGTTCACTTTGGACAAACTTAACGGAAAAGGGATATATTTAAACTAATAGTATAATGGCATAAGTATATTTGGCTCTAAGTATAAGGAGGATACATTTAAACTTTTTCTGATTCACTGAAATGAGCTGTACATGTCTATATATATATATATATATATACACTTCTAACTAACTGACTTCACTAACTGCTAATTAATGTAGTATTAGTAACTAACTAACTACTTAGCTGAACTAACTGCTCTTCTTAAACTGTACAACTTAAATAATACTTTGTGCAACTACTCTAAGACAACAACAACAATAACAACCTAGTGGAATCCTACAAGTGGGGTCTGGGGAGGGTAGTGTGTACGCAGACTTTACCCCTGCTCTGGAGAAGTAGAGAGGTTGTTTCTGATAGACCCTCGGTTCACGGCGTTGGAAAGAGACAAGTACAACTACTCTAAGCTGTTTAAGTTTTCAACACTCCCCCTCAAATTGAGAAAAAAAAATGTTTTTCATTCTCAACTTGGAATTTGTATTAATTTGTTATTTTCATACATTCATATCAGTAGGTTTCTTTTACCTTATGTTGATCCTTTCGCTTCGATTATTCTATCACTCTGTCTCCCTATCACCTTATCTTGTTGATGGTACTACGTGTTGTGTCTGCTTCTTTTACTTTTATCTTGAGTCGGGGGTCAATCGGAAGTAAGGTTTGCGTACACTCTATCCTCAGACCCTAGTCTGTGGGATTACACTAGGTTTGTTGTTGTATTCTCAACTTGGACACTAGTACAACATGTTGTTGATGCTCAAGGCTCTTGTCAAAATATAGGTTGATTGTTCTTGACTGGATATATGTAAAGTCTTGATTAGCCCTTATGAAATGACAATTTATTTTTATATGCAATTTGTAGGGCTGCATTGTTGTCACAGTATTAGAGCCTGTTTGGATGGACTTATTTTAAGTGACTTTTAAATCAAAATAGTTTTTAAGCCATAAGTTAAGAATTCTAGTTTTGGCTTATTTTTATCATTTTAGCTTAAAAACAAGTGCTTAAAAGCATATTTTTACTCTATCCAAGCCAATCCAAATGGGCTCTTACCCTGTATGCAGCTTAAGATTCACCTCCAGCTCCTTTAGGCCACTTATCCAAGCTAATTCTGCCACTATATGTACAGTGTCCTATGCTTCTATATTCAACTTCAGGTGAACTTCTCTTGAATTTTCTCAATCAGAAGAAACCCAAAAAATCAGTTCACAGTGGCAACATAATGGCTTATACTTGCAAACCGATGCAAGCAGAGGAGTTTGCTGCTAGTGAATGCCTCTTTTTTCTCTTTTACAAATTTCAGGCCTCTTACGATGCTTATAAACATTATACACTGGGTATGCAATGTTAGCTTAGTGTTTAATCACTGTATAATATGTTTATAGTAAATGTGTATATACTATATGCTGACTATACCATTGTTATACACCGAGTATATACCAGAAATAGGAAGAAATTAGAAAAAAGAAGAAGGCAGCTGATAGTGTAAAACTTCCTTAAATTGCAATAGGCTAAAGCTAACTCTTTGTAAACGAAAGGGAAAGGAAGATACAGAAAAGTAATAAAAGTAGCAATTATAACCTTCATTGAGCAAGTTGGTTGAAACATTAGGAGATGAAGAATGACTCAAGATTTTGCATCTTACAATTTCTGGAAAACCTGTTATTTTCCATTTCCCTCATAAATAATAGTAGTAACCAGTAACATTTATGTTACGATAACGTGAATGAACAAATGAAGGAGATCCAACCATATCTATCAATCAAGTCTTCTACATTGCAGAGTGATGATGCATCCGGCGCCCTTTCCACCCACACAGATAATTCGCTTGCGGACGTGTTCTCTGTGGTTTTTGTCCATTTGTTATTGCAGGTGACGGTTTTGTGTTCATCTCATAAGGAGTAGACGTAGCTCGACAAACTGATTTCTCAACCAAAATAGCATTATCATTATTCTCTCCATTTCGCTTGTCAAGCCACGAGATGATATCTGAAAATACGATATCAATGTTGTCTTCAGGCTCACCATATGTCAAACCATGCCACATTCCTGGATAGAGTTTTATGGTCTTGTCCTTACTACTGGCTTGCTCATACAAAGCTTTACTTACTTCTGGATCAGTTACTATGTCTGCTTCCCCATGTAACACTAAAAATGGTAGAGTGACCTGTCAAAACAAGGGAATGAATTTCAAATTCTCAACTGAACTACACTTTTAGCTTTTATTTTTATCAGAATGACTCAAAATATTGTTTGCATGAAGATGGTAAAGACGTGAGGTAACAGTTACCTCGTGCAAACTTTCTTCGAGGTGCATGCTAGTTCTTAGCATTTCCAAAGCTGTCTTTAGTCTTGGCTTTTCCTGATATATTAACTTGTTTCCGCGCACCTATTCTTGCAAAATGGCAAGAAATGGACATCATATATAATCTATATATTAATATAAAGCAGGGAATGAGAGAGCTGATGTGGCACTCTCTACATCCACGATCTCTATTTATCTTTTACCTCAATTTTCTGCTCTTTTTTCCACTTTTTAATTGTGCGATATTTTAAAATGTCCAAAAGTCACCTAATTAACTATCTACATAATTGCACCTTTTAAGACTACTAAAACCCTAAGCGTTACAACTCACAACTTCTCAAAATTCATTCATCTTCTTCGTTTGCCCTCTTCTCTATTTTTTCTATTCTTCCGTCCACAAATATTATTTATGATTGCAGAGTTAATGTTTTGTCGTCGGAAGAGACGTATGCAACCGGATCTATGCTTTGTCTAAAATTTACTTTTGCTTTGAGTTTGTTTTTGTTCCTCGGTTTATTTTCTTTTGGCCTATAGCCAATCAGTTTTTTATCAATCTTTTATGTCAAAACTTTTTTTACATACTAAAAATTTCTTCATCTTTCTCGTGCAGATTCAAGAGAAAAATATTAAAATCCAATGATGATTTAGCTTTAGAAGGTAATATTTCTTCCGATGTTTTTGTTTTTGTTATCTTTTAGTAATTAACTCTATATTTTTTTCTTTTCTGCTTGGTCAGTACTGTTTTGCCGTAAGCATAAAGTTTAATGCCTTTTTTTGTACCAAATATTGCTGTGTTGTAATTGGCATTTGATATACACATAGTAAGAATAATTTGAAGTGATGCACATTGGCGTTCTTTTGACTTTACAGGTTACTCATGCTAAAGACTGAATAGACTCTGTAGCAAAAAGAATCAAGCGCTACCATGAATTAATCTTTTAATTGTTACATCAGAAGTCAGAACTATTACAGGTACTACTATCAAATCTACTTACTCTATGAGATTATACTTTTGCTGTTGGGCTTGTGGTCTAATTATACTAAGGTGATGGTTACTATCATAAATGGAATTCTAAAATGTTAACTTGGAGCCACTCGGTCAGAAAACGGTAGATAAGACTAGGGTGCGACAGTAAAAGCTATTGAAATATGCCAATGAACTTATTGAAGAAAAATACATTTAAAGACTAAAAAGGCACATAACACAAAATAGAGCGAGTATTTTGAAACTAACCTATCGTTTTAATTTGTATTTTCTATGTAATTAGCTATGCATCAAATTAAATTGAAAACCAATTTGCACTTCTACTTTGTCTTCTACATTTTCCCTAATTCAAAAAATAAATACTTTCTATCTCACCTTTTTTTTGGTTGCTCATTTGCTTAATGTTGATTTTTTTTATGTGCTATGTACTTGAAAGCTATAATACTTGATTTTTACTGTTAAAGTGAGACTATGAAGAGATTAGTGTATGCT